ATATTTTAATAGGTATTTCAATACATTAAGGTTTAACCCTTTCAAAAATGTTATACTGCAGAGATTCTATTATGTAAACAACGATAGGATGTGCAGTATGTGCCAAGTGCAGTTAGTGGTCTGTGTAGTGTGGTCTCTCTAATGTTGCCAGCACTGTTGCATTGTTGGTACAATGTGGTTTGTTAGTGGGTCATGCAAATAAGCTGTTGTTTGCCATATTTTCCAGCTGTGTTATGTGGAACATGCTCTGGACATAACACAGACTCGGAACATGACAGACACAGCTACTATCCAAAAGGAATTTGACTTTTAAAGCTCATTAATTAAAAACTTCAGAAATAATATATAATGGTGTCTTTTTTTTTATAACAGACCTATTCTAGGTATTCAACCTATTCTACATTTTACAAATGTATATATTTGTTAAAACGACACTGTGTACACTGTGTAACGATTTAGACCAAAAGTGTTTTGCCTCAGCTAATGATTAATATATTAAATGTTTTTAGAATGTTTTTAGAACAGTGAGAAATGTCATGCTGTCTCCACATGTGTTATTTGCAAATGAATTAAGAAAAAAAACACTCACTCATCTCTAGCTTCCTGTGGATGAGAACTTTCCTGACCCTAAATAAGAAAACAGATATTATTTGGAATAATTTCTTGACCTCTCCCAGAACCAGAATTGTTATTAGGCTCCTGTAGGTAACTGGTGAAAAAGTGTCATGATGCAACCCACACTGCTTCAGGATTTTAATTCTGAGAGGATATCTATGGAGTGAATCAGCATATCTTTTTGTAAAGATGCACCCAAGGCCATAGGTTAACTCACCTGCATTGAATATTACAAAATGCATTTTTTTTACCATGCTGAACTTTTTATGTGTTACATTATTGAAAATGAGGTTATGCTGGCTACAGAAGAAGAAGTAAGTCTTTGTGCCAGAGTGTTGTAGAGGTAGATAATATGTTGGAGTAATTTTGCCTAAAGGGGGCCAATAGGTGATTCAGCCTATCGGTGCGTGAAAATATTAGTTTGGTGGACAGACCCTTTAAAATGTGGTTTCAGTTTAAATACATTGCTTTAATTGTTCCTAAAGAAATGTATTTTTGTACCTTTTTGATTTGAACTCCCAGATAGCAAGGATAATTTGCCACAAAAATGTGGCAGGGTTAAACTGTAATTCTTGTTAACTTGCTGCACACATTCCCTGGCAAGTTGTAGACTTGCAGAACACTTGCAGCACAAGTTCTAGTTGACACTTTTTGAATTTGTAGCAAATTTGCTGGGCAAGTCTACAGCAAGAGTCCTGCAGGTCTTAGCAAGAGCTCTGCAAGTGTACAGCACGTTTGCAAAGGACGATGCTCTGGAGATTGCAATGCAGGCTTGCTGTAATTGTGTAACAACATTGTGAAGCTTGGCAAATCTGCAATAGTTTAGCAAGTACCGTATTTGCCAGCGTATAAGACGACTCGGCGTAAAAGGCGACCCCCCACATTTTGTGTTAAAATATAGGTTTTGGGCTATACTCGTCGTATAAGACGAGTATAGCCCAAAATAATGTTTAAATGCACCCACTAACCCCCATGGCGGTATTCCCGAGTGTGGCTCGCGGTTAATTTTCAGTACCATAAGCGGTAACCCCGAGCCACACTCGGGATTACAGTCTCTTACCTTGTCCACAATCCCCGCAGTGTCCTCCGTCTTCCGAGTTCCGTCCTTCAGCTACATACAATATACCGTGCCTGTCATGATTGGCTCAGCGCTGAGTCAATCACGGCAGGCTTTGTATTCATTAATACAGGCTTTGTATTAATGAATACAAAGCCTGCCGTGATTGGCTCAGCACGGTATACTGTATGTAGCCGAAGCTACATACATTATACCCGGCGTATACCCCCGATTTTCGGGGCCATGTTTTTGGGTCTAAAAATCCGTCTTATATGCCGGCAAATACGGTAATTTTCAAACTTGGAGCTCAATTGCTTGCTATCTGGGCTACTGTATTCTTTAGATTAATTCTGATTATACTTTAGTCAGTACAAGGACTCCAAATAATGTTGGTACAGACAATGACAAGCAAAAGCTAAGAAGGGATTTCCAGAGCCATCTCTGGTGGCTTCCAGTTGGGATATTTAAACCGAATTAACAGCGCTAGTAGGTGAATGAAATAACCATATAATCGTGTTTGTGGACTATAAGTCATAAAAAGACCACATGAATGCAAGTACCGTTAATCAATGAAAAACACGGCACTGTACTAGTAAATGAACATGTGTACGGTTAGGAGGTGACTTTTAACCAAGTGTTTCTAGGTGTCTCAGTGTGTAAAAATAAAGTGAATAAATCTACACAAATTGAAAAAGTCCTTCACTTTGTTACACCTTCATGTGCATGGATAACATTAAGTGACAAATCATATACTTGAAAAAATTCTGGTGAGACAGAAGTATAAACGAAAATAATTATGAATGACAATTAATTGTGCTGATAAAAAATGAATATAAACAGCTACAGTCTCTGTAATAAACAGCTCACTTTCAAAGCCAAGTAGCAGAGCCTTCCAATGTTCGGTAGAGTAGTGCTTTACTGGGGTTTGTATTAAGATCAATACATCCCCCTAATAGAGTGCGTACTCACCACAAACTTTCGGCTGTAATAGACAGCCCCAAACGTTTTGTCTGATGGTACAGCGTTACTGCGGTGTCTTTCGTTTCTCGTGCTTTACCATCAGCCCTCAGTGTAAAGTATTCCCACAGTCATGCAAAGAAAAATTATTTCATCGGGTAATAGTTCCAGAAATAGTTTATTTAAAATTTCTTTAAAATTAAAAAAATCACATTCGGCCGGTCCGAAAACAAACGTGTTTGGTATGGTAATTTTAAATAAACTATTTCTGGAACTATTACCCGATGAAATAATTTTTCTTTGCATGACTTTGGGAATACTTTACACTGAGGGTTGATGGTAACCGTACACATGTTAATTTACTAGTACAGTGCCGTGTTTTTCATTGATCAACGGTACTTGCATTCATGTGGTCTTTTTATGACTTATAGTCCACAAACACGATTATATGGTTATTTGATTTATATTTATATTGATACACTAAAAATTAATCACATTGTCTGGACATTAAAAACTTTGCAGTATCTAATACAGGTGAAACTCGAATAATTAGAATATCGTGCAAAAGTAATTGCAGTAAGTGCTGCAAAAGGGGCCCAAACCAAGTACTGAGTACATATGCATGCTTGTACTTTTCAGAGGTCCGATATTGTTCTATGTACAATCCTTGTTTTATTGATTGCATGTAATAATCTACTTTTTTGAGGTTGTGGATTTGGGGTTCTTGGGGTTTTCATGAGCTGTAAGCCATAATCATCACAATTATGACAAATCACGGCTTGAATTATCTTGCTTTGCATGTAATGAGTCTATCTCATATATTAGTTTCACCTTTTAAGTTACATTAGTGAAATAAATGAACTTTGCACGATATTCTAATTATTCGCGTTTCACCTGTATAAGTAATGTGTTAAGGAAACACTATTTTTGTTTAAATCACTGCCACCTGTGTGAGATACAGCTAATTGAACTCCTAGCGCTGCTCATCTTGTTATATCTTCCAGTTGGGATAACCTGGAGCCATCTGATATTTAGTTCAGTGCATTTTTCCCCTTCTCTTTTTTAGTACTAATCTTTGTTCTGACCCTTAGAAAAATTGCTGTTAGTAGGGATGCACCGATACCATTTTTCTAGACTGAGTACGAGTACAACTCGCCAATACCAATTACCGATAGTTTATACAGACAAATGATTTTAGGACAGTGGTGAAGTGCCACGGCCCAGTTGCAGCTGCGACCGCTGCGACTGCGGTAGTTCCATCAGCTATAGAGGACTACAAATCCCAGCAATACATTATACAGCAATGCAGAATAATACCATCAGCTATAGAGGACTACAAATCCCAGCAATACATTATACAGGAATGCAGAATGGCAACCGGCTATAGAAAACCACAAATCCCAGCAATACATTATACAGCAAAGCAGAATACAATCAGCTATAGAGGACTGCAAATCCCAGCAATACATTATACAGCAATGCAGAATAATACCATCAGCTCTACAGGACTACAAATCCCAGCAATACATTATACAGGAATGCAGAATGGCAACCGGCTATAGAGAACTACAAATCCCAGCAATACATTATACAGCAATGCAGAATAATACCATCAACTATAGGGGACTACAGATCCCAGCAATACATTATACAGTAATATAGAATAATATATTGATACATACTCTGTGTTGCTGCTCTGCTCAGGGATGCTGGCCTGATGTCTCAGAAGCGGTGCTGAGGGTCTCAGGAGGGGGAGATGTGCACACCAGTGGAAGCACTGTAAACAGGTGCCCTGTGATTCTCAAGAAGGCTGCCACAAGGTCCTCAGCAAGCGTGGGACCTCAGGAAGCCGAATCAATTTGAAAATTTAAAGCACCGGTATCGGTTTTTGATATCTGGGCATTTTCACAGGTACAAAGGAAAATTCCCAGTATCGGCACCGATAACTGGTATCGGTATCAGTGCATCCCTAGCTGTTAGTAACAGAACACATCCAGGATTACTCATATTTCAGGTGATGATTCAACAGGTTGGAAATGTTACATGTCCCCCATGTATTGCTTAATAGTTTTGTGAGAAAGTTAGTTATTCTGGCATAAGCCTTGCTTCTGTCTCTTCCTTTAAAGCACAGTCTGCATAATCAAATTGATTCAGTTAGAAAACATTTTCAATATTATTGGCCTAACATTTCAGTATATAACAATTGTGAAATAAATTATTATTGTTTTAATAAATGCTATAAGTACCTTAACTAGTTGCTCTAATATCTGAATTCACAAAAGTTTACCAAGGAGGCTCCAATATTATGATCAGTGTTATCAGTACATTTATATGGCTCACATGCATGACAATAGTGAAACAAAACATTTACCATGAAGTTGGATTACTTATATGTATATGTGTCCTCTTGTAGGAATAGAAACCAGCTTAAAGGTGTGATGAATCAAGAATCCAGGTTACTTTGTTTTTATCTGCTGAAAAAAAACACAAGCAATAGTGGTCCATTAAAAGGTAATCATAGACGGTAATCCAAGGGAATTTTCTCTGCAGAACTCTACTGAAGACAATACAACCAGTGTATTTATTCTAATATTTAGGTTTGTCTACCTAGGTAATACTACTGATCACATCTCATGCCTAAATGCTTGGAAATGTATGCCAACTGAAACACCTATCCTACACCCAGCACGTATTTGTCACAATACCGTCAATGGATTGTGCAAAACCATTTAAGGCCTCATTCAGGCGTACATGTCCGTGTGGCGTGCACGCCCGTAAACAGGCCGATCCTGGGAGGGACACTGCCTGTGTCCACGCAAGTGTGGACACGCATGTGCAAGTTCGGCGTGTGGATGACAGTGTACAGCCACGTTCTCCCATAGGGAAGACAATCTCATATATTAGTTTCACCTTTTAAGTTACATTAGTGAAATAAATGAACTTTGCACGATATTCTAATTATTCGCGTTTCACCTGTATAAGTAATGTGTTAAGGAAACACTATTTTTGTTTAAATCACTGCCACCTGTGTGAGATACAGCTAATTGAACTCCTAGCGCTGCTCATCTTGTTATATCTTCCAGTTGGGATAACCTGGAGCCATCTGATATTTAGTTCAGTGCATTTTTCCCCTTCTCTTTTTTAGTACTAATCTTTGTTCTGACCCTTAGAAAAATTGCTGTTAGTAGGGATGCACCGATACCATTTTTCTAGACTGAGTACGAGTACAACTCGCCAATACCAATTACCGATAGTTTATACAGACAAATGATTTTAGGACAGTGGTGAAGTGCCACGGCCCAGTTGCAGCTGCGACCGCTGCGACTGCGGTAGTTCCATCAGCTATAGAGGACTACAAATCCCAGCAATACATTATACAGCAATGCAGAATAATACCATCAGCTATAGAGGACTACAAATCCCAGCAATTAATTATACAGGAATGCAGAATGGCAACCGGCTATAGAAAACCACAAATCCCAGCAATACATTATACAGCAAAGCAGAATACAATCAGCTATAGAGGACTGCAAATCCCAGCAATACATTATACAGCAATGCAGAATAATACCATCAGCTCTACAGGACTACAAATCCCAGCAATACATTATACAGGAATGCAGAATGGCAACCGGCTATAGAGAACTACAAATCCCAGCAATACATTATACAGCAATGCAGAATAATACCATCAACTATAGGGGACTACAGATCCCAGCAATACATTATACAGTAATATAGAATAATATATTGATACATACTCTGTGTTGCTGCTCTGCTCAGGGATGCTGGCCTGATGTCTCAGAAGCGGTGCTGAGGGTCTCAGGAGGGGGAGATGTGCACACCAGTGGAAGCACTGTAAACAGGTGCCCTGTGATTCTCAAGAAGGCTGCCACAAGGTCCTCAGCAAGCGTGGGACCTCAGGAAGCCGAATCAATTTGAAAATTTAAAGCACCGGTATCGGTTTTTGATATCTGGGCATTTTCACAGGTACAAAGGAAAATTCCCAGTATCGGCACCGATAACTGGTATCGGTATCAGTGCATCCCTAGCTGTTAGTAACAGAACACATCCAGGATTACTCATATTTCAGGTGATGATTCAACAGGTTGGAAATGTTACATGTCCCCCATGTATTGCTTAATAGTTTTGTGAGAAAGTTAGTTATTCTGGCATAAGCCTTGCTTCTGTCTCTTCCTTTAAAGCACAGTCTGCATAATCAAATTGATTCAGTTAGAAAACATTTTCAATATTATTGGCCTAACATTTCAGTATATAACAATTGTGAAATAAATTATTATTGTTTTAATAAATGCTATAAGTACCTTAACTAGTTGCTCTAATATCTGAATTCACAAAAGTTTACCAAGGAGGCTCCAATATTATGATCAGTGTTATCAGTACATTTATATGGCTCACATGCATGACAATAGTGAAACAAAACATTTACCATGAAGTTGGATTACTTATATGTATATGTGTCCTCTTGTAGGAATAGAAACCAGCTTAAAGGTGTGATGAATCAAGAATCCAGGTTACTTTGTTTTTATCTGCTGAAAAAAAACACAAGCAATAGTGGTCCATTAAAAGGTAATCATAGACGGTAATCCAAGGGAATTTTCTCTGCAGAACTCTACTGAAGACAATACAACCAGTGTATTTATTCTAATATTTAGGTTTGTCTACCTAGGTAATACTACTGATCACATCTCATGCCTAAATGCTTGGAAATGTATGCCAACTGAAACACCTATCCTACACCCAGCACGTATTTGTCACAATACCGTCAATGGATTGTGCAAAACCATTTAAGGCCTCATTCAGGCGTACATGTCCGTGTGGCGTGCACGCCCGTAAACAGGCCGATCCTGGGAGGGACACTGCCTGTGTCCACGCAAGTGTGGACACGCATGTGCAAGTTCGGCGTGTGGATGACAGTGTACAGCCACGTTCTCCCATAGGGAAGACTAGGCTGCCGCGTGCAATTACACACAGCACGTGTCCCTTCCGGGATCGGCCCGTTTACGGGCGTGCAGGCTGCATGGACGTGTACGCCCCCCTCTGAATGAGACCTTATACTTAAATAGAAGTTGCCATTTTATTGTACTCCCCATAAAGAAAGTGCTCTTGAACTTTACACAGTGTTACCCAATTTACAGTGTGCACTTTTATAAAGGTTTTTCAGTATAGGATAAAGGGAAGTCCAGGCATATTAAGTATGGTAGCCAACAACTCTGCATGAGTTTATAAACTGCTACCATTATTAATTATAAAGACCTGAAAACAAAGTTCTAGATAGATGCAAGATGTGTTCATTCATCCATAAGAAGACATGTCTGTTAATTCCTGAGCAGCAGGAGCAGCTAAGAGTTCAAACTAGGCTGAGGATACTCTCAGACACATTTACCATAGTGGTCATCTGCTAAAATGTGCCTAAGTTATTTTAGTTTCCTAAATTACCTTTGACACATCAGTTAGGATAGCATTATCATTTACAAACTATCCAGAAAATTGTACTTTAAAGTGAATGTGATCTAAACAGTTTCTAAGGTGAAAACTGTGCTGAAGTGACCCTGTGGAGATTCCTGGATTCTAGACTAAAGGGTATACACTGTTCGGATTTTGTATGAACATAGTCGTTTTCAGAACGTTCATTCAAATATCTATCAATTAGTATGGTGCAATCGACAGATGAAAATGACAATGTTTCCGAAAAATTTAGAAGGAGCATGTTAGAAAATGTTTCTCGATCAAATGAATTTCTAACAGTCAGTGTGGTTTTCGTTCAGAAACTCCATTCATTCCAAAATAAGAATGAATGTAGTTAAATATAAGTGAAAATTAAATGAAATTCCGAACGCCAATAGGCAATTTTCTGCTGGCAGTATCGAACATTCTGACGGTACTTTTCGTACGTACGTATGTGCAAAAATCTACCAGTACATACCCTACTTTAGATTGCACAAAGGGGCCTCTGCAGGTTTGACAGCTGATTGACAGGATGAGGTTTAGTGGCAGTGTAGCTTAATCTCAGCTTGGGCAGAATTTAAATCACTATGCACAACATGGGCTCAGCACAATGGAGCTACAAAGAGACAAAAGATGATTTGAAGACTAACATAGGTCCTTGCAGGCAAAACAAGGTGTCTGCATTCAACACTGATATTTTAGAAACAGTTTAGGCACTGTGACGTTCATTTTTAACCCTCTAGTCAGCATTACTGTTACTTTCACCATGACCCCACCATCAAATTCACAGCTTTATGGTACACAAAAACTCTATGACATGGTGACTTTTTTAAAGCCAGATTATGCATTGAGAGCAGGTTTATTTATGTTTGAGAAAGCATAAAACACATTGGTTCCTAAATGTTTAATACTGCAGCACATGCTGTTGCATCACCTCTTCATAGATCAAAACAATCACCAACGTAGACCTTAAAAACAAAACAATGACCTGCAGAGACATCTGTGATGGTCATGAGGATTGAGCAAATCAATATTAATTATGAAATTCTCTTTTCCCTTATCTTTAAAAAATGCAGCCTTCACTTAGTTCAATTGACCTCAAGCTGCCCTAGTTGAGCCAGGCATCCTCAAAATTCCAGCACCAGATATTTGGTAATCTGGGCCTGTGATCTTTATAGTCCTTGGTGAAGCACTAAAACCTGATTGTTTATCTAGAGCTTTCCCTAGACCTGGTGTGGATTAGCCTTAACGATCTTTTACGATAGGTGTTGTAAATCGCTAAAACCATGGTAATCGCCTTGCACAGCTCAGCTAACTATAGATCGCCTGGTGGATAAAGAAGGAATGTGTGGTATCCCTCTGAGTTATAAACAGAGAGTGACAATATTAACCCAATTTTCATAACTCGGAATTGGATAATGATATTGTAATATTCATTGCATTAAATAGCTGTGTCTCATCAAGAGAAATCAACACATATCAATCATGAGTGGGTTACAAAGGTCAGAGGCCTGACAAGCCACATTAACCCTCCTGGGCTAGCCTAAATCACATATGCATCAAGTCTGATCCTAATGTAAAGCCAATTTAATGATGCACAATAATTTAAGGGTTGTCATACAGTAATATGTAAGAATATTAAGCTAGGTGGATAGTTATGAATTTGACAGTTTTGGAAGAGCAAAGAAGGACAATATAAAGGCTTAGCCCTCCTGCTCCTCCTCCCCAGCCCTGACTTATGGGCTGGCTCCGTGACACCCCCTAGAGGACTGACAAAAAGATGCTGCAAAGGCAGCTGAGGAGGCTCTCATTTTAACATCAAAAGGAAGCTCTTGCAACATCAAGAAGCTTGTAATACCAGAGCTCATGTAACATCCCTGAAGAGCTCCCCTTTAACATCAAGAAAGAATCTTTGCAAACCTT